CTACCACGAACGCTTTAAACTGCAAAGGACGGACGCTAATAAAATATGCTACAAAAACATGAAACAGCTTGTAGTGGAGGCCATTAACATGGAGAAAAGGTGCTATTTTGCTCAGCATATTACAGCATACAGCAATGACTCTAAAAAACTTAGGCGTAACCTTAAAAGTGGTAAAATTTTTTATAGTAAAAAGAATGTAGATATTCCAGCACTTTTCAATGACCCCGGCCTTATTGATGCGCACTTCCTCAACATTCCGGGTGATGGGCAGGTAACAATATCACAGCTCACATACTTTGAGTTTCATAGATATGGATCTGCAGTTTTCTCCTTGCAGACTGTCACGGAGGACACTGTTCTGAAAACCATCAAAGGATTCAAGTCCAGTGCACTAGGGCATGATGGCCTGTCACTAAATATGATACAGCTGACCCTGCCACAAACTCTTAAGGCCATCACAACCATTATTAACAGGTCCATTACAGATGGTGTCTTCCCTGATAGCTGGAAGGTTGCTGTAGTTAAGCCCTTACCTAAAGTCAGCAATCCAACCACCATGAATGACCTGAGTCATACCTATTAGTTTACTCCCCTTCGTGTCTAAGGTTTTGGAGAAAGTGGTTTGTGGGCAACTAATAAGATTCCTCGAGATTAATCATATATTACCAGAGCGCCAGTCTGGATTCCGTCGAGGTTACAGCACAGCAACTGCTTTAGCAGATGTTGTGGATAACCTACTAGCTGCTCAGGACCAGGGGAGCCTTAGTATCCTTTTAATGCTCGATTTGTCACGAGCATTTGACTCAATAAATTTAGATCTCCTACTTTCTAAGCTGGCTTACTATGGAGTTAGTATCCAATCAATAAAATGGTTTCATAGTTACCTTGCAAATAGACAACAGTGCGTTGAGCTGACAAGGATAGATGGAACCAAAGAGCGCTCCGACAACCTCATGGTGACCCATGGTGTTCCTCAGGGTTCAATTTTGGGACCCACTCTATATGTTTTATTCAGCGGTGATATTACAGATAATATACGTCACTGTCAATATCACTTGTATGCAGACGACCTGCAACTGTATCTTCCTTTCAAATTTTCTGACCACGATAGTGCTGTAAACAAGATTAATGAGGATCTAAATCGTATTTCAGTTTGGTGCAAATCTAACTGTCTGGTTCTCAACCCAAAAAAATCAAAACTGTTATTAATAGGCTCCAAAAAAAAAACGTTAATTTTTTCAAAGACATTACTCTTAATGTAAATATAGATGGAGAGAGGATAGAGCGTGTAAATAATGCTAGAAATCTGGGACTGGTCATGGATCAACACCATAGCCTCGAAAGTCACATTGCTGAATGTTCCCGCATTTGCTTTTATAGGTTGAAGCTGCTTCACAATATCAGACCCTATTTAAGTGAGGAGCTGAGAGTCAAGCTGTGTGAAATGCTTGTTCTTTCAAAGTTAAATTACTGTGACACTGTTTTTGGACCCTGCCTTATGTCCAGAACTAGTAAGACCATTCAACGCATACAGAATGCTTGTGCCCGTTTTTGTTTTAATGTACCTCCTCGTTCACACATAACTCCGTTTTTGAACTCTGCAAAACTTTTAAAGATGGAGGCAAGGAGGAAGCTACATCTAGCTACCTTACTGTTTGATGTTCTGGACAAGAGAAGGCCAAGCTATCTCTATAATAAGCTTGTATGGATGCGCGACCAAAGCAGGTACCCGGTTAGGCAGTATGGGCCTGTCTTCATTACCATGAACCACCGAACAGCAGCATTTCGTGGATCCTTTCGGTTTGCAGCCTCAAAGTGTTGGAACGATCCCCCGCCGCCCGTGCGTGATCTGAAAACCATTAGAACATGCAGAAAACATCTCAAAATATATCTTCTTCATTTACAAAGTTTAGAATAAAATTCAAAACTAACCTAGTTTTATTCACGTCGCGCCGGTTGGTTTGGATCGTTCCGGTTATCTTAGCTAGCACTATCGACGATTCACGTAATGTTTGTTGGTGATTTGAAGCCATATACTAAGGTACCTGGGTCGAATATGGCCAGCCGAAAAATATGGCCACATGCCATTATTTCAAATACAAAATATTGTAATAACCTGAACGGCGTACCTGTCACTCCTCCCGCGCGCCCGCTAGTCGCCCAGTGTTCATTAAATGGAAACGTGTTGTGAGGTTATAAAAACATCAAGTAAGTATTGTCCTGTATTTTATTAGTTTTGATTTAAAAATCGTTGTAAATCACAATATGATTTGTGTGACGATTGTAATTTGATATTTCTTTGTTTAATTACCAAAGTAATAGTGAGTTTTTCATTCGTGAATATGCAAACGTAAAAAATGCATGACTGCAAATATGGCCACCGCGTGGCCATATTTCCGGTACTAAGTAAGTAGTAACCCTTTTTTTTGTTTTAGATCATGGCACGCTATAAATCTAAAGGGATTAGAGGTAATTGGTCAGAAGCATCAATGAATGAATAAATTTGTTTGCACTCGATGCAGTCAGGACTAATTAAAATATTTATTTTATTAGATTCGCCTACTTTTTTCTAGTTTAACATATCATTGTGATTTATCTATCAAGGATCGCGAAGTTTACGTTTTATTTTTGATAATTTTGTTGATTTGAAGTACCTATAGTTTTTTAAGGATTTAAAGTTTAAAGTTTAGAATATCTTGTTGAATCTCATTGTTGATTTTATCTTTCATTATATTTCTTGTAAACATGGTTCTTTATTAGTACTGAATATCGCGCCCAAAGAATATCTTTTAAATAAATTTTCTATTAAAATATGATAACTATTTTTATTTCATTTTATTTAGAAGATTTTTAAACTACCTAACTCATACAGTAAATATGGCCACATGTATGGGCATATTTACCTCCCCCGTCGGAAATATGGCCAATTTCTATATTTTTAAAAATGTTGAAAATACTTTTTTATCATTAGAAGTCTTTACATTTTTTTGCCTTTTTTGAAAGATAAATAACCACTCTTTATATATGAGTGCTAAAACTTTCTTGTTTTAGCTTTATTATTATTAAAAAAGAATACCAAACCTTAAGATAGCCATATTCGACCCAGGTACCTTAATATAAAATCTCGCCATCCAGCTTGCTATCTATGTTTATATGCCTATGTTGTATATCTATGCCAAAAATCGTAATTGTATGTTATAGCTTAGGGGTAAGCTAAAGGGTTCCTGTGTATTTGCCGATTATTGTTGTTCTTTTTCTGTCTTGCATACTGCCTCATGTTATTTGTCCTTTCTTGCTGTCAATGTCATAGTTGCGCACAGGCATGGATCGGCAGTAGAATTACTATTTAATAAGTTTGGAATTACTATTTAATAGGTTTGCAATTCATTTAATTATTAGTTTTATATATTAGTTTTCTTTCTTTTGTTTTTCTAAGTCATCCAGTCTGTAGTCTGTCCTACCACAGATAAATCATTCTTTTTTTATTTTTTATTTTTTTTGTACTTTTTCTGTAAGGCTAAAGATTGTAAAAACATTCAGCCTACTTTGTTATTATCTTTTTTTTAGTGTACATTGGTATGGTTGTATAATAATAATCTGTGTCATCAACCTTAGGCCCTGCCAGAATTAACAGCGCTGCAGCAGCCCTGGTGTTGCTGCAGTATCAAGCTGAGGCAGGGACCTAGTTGGCCAAAAAAAATTTTTTTTATTGTTTTTATTTAGGTTAACAATACTGTTAATATTAGTTTAGTTATGGTCAATAAAATTTATTTCTTTCTTCTTCTTTCTTTCGCTGACGTTCCCGTGAATTCAAAGGTGCTCGCTAAGACCTCCGTGCTCGTAATCCAGCCTTGTGTAAGCAATTCTTTCCCTTACAATGTATAACTGTAAAATAAAAGTTAGCAAATGGTTGAAAGGTATGGATTACGAAGAGACGGAGTGTTTAGTAAATAATTAGATCACTTTGTTGTGTAATAAAATACGGCAGCAGTTAGTTATTGTCGGTTTCTGTAGTTTTTATAACCAGTTTATATATCTATATAAGTAATTATACAACCAATGTGCGCACACCTAAATCGGATACAGCATTTACGTACATAGAGGGGACTCTGTTGCCTGTAATACAGGTTATCCTACCACTGGCAACATAAGTCACCTTTAACAATATTTAAGCTCCAATGTGCCTCTTGTCACCAATTTTTGTATTTAATTTAAAATATTGTATATTGTAACTTGTTTTAAGTCAATAAACGTTTTATTATTATTATTATTCTGAATGGTCTGAGTGCTAACTTCAAGTCCGGAGGCGGCCCGCATTTCTGTTTTTAATTAAGTGGCGTTTATTGTTGGGTCGCGGGCTACCAGCAACCTGATGTAGCGCTTCTGAGCAGCTGTCAAAACAGATGGGCGACCGCTGCGGGGTCGATCAACCAAAATACCCATGCTGTGGTAACTCTGCAACGTGGTTACTACACAGGATTGGGATATGGCAACCCTGCGTGCTATTTCTCTCATAGAATAGCATTCTTCCCTCAAAGTAACAATTCCGGCTCGTAAAACATCTGATAATCCTCGTGGCATTTTTTAAATCACAACTTTCCGTGAAAAATATTTTAAATTCGATAATATTGACTAAGTCAGATTTCTGAATGAGTGTCAGCTTGGATTGCATGTCTTTTTATATAGAAAATCAATTGAATTATTTTATTGTTTTACGTTCTAATTATAATTTTAAAATTTAGAATCTTATCAGAAAAAGAAATTACAAAAAAGTCATCTGTAACACAAAAAACAACCTATTTTTCAAAGTGATCGCAATTTTTTTTGATGTGTGTAAGTAGGCGTAGAATGCCGCTCGGACGTTTTTTGATATACTTTTGTTAGGTGACTGGCAGTTTACATGATTTTATGCGTCTATGGGCATAGTATAAGACTTCCATAAGCAAAAGTTATAAAAAAAAATAAGTACTTACTGAAAATTAATATTGTCTTTTTCAAAGGAGCCGCCGATTTCTTAGGCATGAACCATTACACCACTTTCTTAGTCCAAAAAGGCAGCACCGATTATGAGTCGCCTTCCTTCCTAGACGACGTAAACGTGGACCTCACTCAGGGCAAGGACTGGAAAAAAAGCCGATCTTCCTGGTTGAAGGTATGTTGCTTTTGAACTAGATATTTTTTACACACACCAATAATTAACCTAGCCCCAAAGTAAGCATTGAGGCTTGTGTTATATAATACTAGGGTAACGGATAGAATACAAATGTTACCGGCAATCAGTATAATTCGGCATTCTATAAATGCCTAGGCAATGTACAGAATGCCAAAAAAGTCAAGGCAATGTATGAAATATTATTAATTTTATACTTTGCCTAGGTATTCTTTACAATGCCGGATACGCAGACGGCAATGTGTGTAAAAGAAGATTTTATTTACCTATTATCTATCTACTCTACACAATAAAAAGCCGATATCTTGGGTACACTCCAATACCAGCTCCTTCGTCTTGACCTAATTAAAAGGCGGGTGGTTCGACTTAGTGATCGATGATCCTGAACTCACCGATGCGTTGCAACCCCTAAGCAGAGAGGTTGCGTCCTTGTGCGTGTTGTACAGTCTATTCAATGGAGATTGTTCTAAGGAATTATTCAATCTGGTGCCAGCAGCGAACTACCTTCACTGCACCACACGCCCTAGAGAGGTTTCATCCGCCCCACACGCTGCAGAGAAAGGTTTCATCCTCACCACACGCTGCAGAGAGAGGTTTCATCCGGACCACACGCCGCAGAGAGGTTTCATCCGCACCACACGCCACAGAGAGGTTTCATCTGCACCACACGCTGCAGCGAGAGGTTTCATCCGCACCACACGCTGCATAGAGAGGTTTCATCCGCACCACACGCTGCAAAGAGAGGTTTCATCCGCACCACACGCTGCAGAGAGGTTTCATCCGCACCACACGTTGCAGAGAGACGTTTCATCTGCACCACACGCCGCAGAGAGGTTTCATCCGTACCACACGCTGCAGAGAGAGGTTTCATCCGCACCACACGCTGCAGAGAGAGGTTTCATCCGGACCACCCGCCGCAGAGAGGTTTCATCCGTACCACACGCTGCAGAGAGAGGTTTTATCCGGACCACACGCCGCAGAGAGGTTTCATCCGCACCACACGTTGCAGAGAGAGGTTTTATCCGGACCACACGCCGCAGAGAGGTTTCAGCCGCACCACACGTTGCAGAGAGAGGTTTCATTCGCACCACACGCGGCAGAGAGAGGTTTCATCCGGACCACACGCCGCAGAGAGGTTTCATCCGCACCACAGGCTGCAGAGAGGTTTCATCCGCACCACACGCTGCAGAGAGAGGTTACATCCGCACCACACGCTACAGAGAGAGGTTTCATCCGGATCACACGCCGCAGAGAGGTTTCATCCGCACCACCGGTGTTCTAGCAGCATGCGTTCCTATTTGCGCACTAGCAAGATATGGAACAAAGTTACTATGATATTATGGCTGTCTTTAAAAGGCGGGTAAACCTTTTCCTTGAGAACCGGCACCGCATGAGTGGTACTCTTGGTACTGTAAGTGCCCATCATCGGCGGCAGTGACCATTTATTAGCAAATGGACTGCCAGCTTGTTTGCTTGCATAGCCTATCACACAAACATAAAAAAACACGACAAAAAGTAGCCTATAACTGTGTCCAAAATCTAATCTCTCTACCAAAACTCAGCCTAATGAATGCAGTGGTTTAGGCGTGAAAGACTTATAAACAATTAAACAAAGACATTTTCGAATTAATAATATAATTTTAAGATTAGTAACCGTGGTAAAATGTATGTCGTTTCAGGGCGCACCATTCGGTCTGTACAAAATCTATCTCTACATCAATCAGAAATACGATTACCCCAAAACGTTTATAACCGAGCATGGATGGTCTACGAAACCCGGCATAGGCGACCAAAGCCGGGTGGACAACTTGAGAGGTTACTTGTTCGCGTTGCAGTTGGCTATGGAAGACGGCGCCGATGTCATAGGGTATACAGCGTGGAGTCTCATGGACAATGTGGAATGGACAGCTGGAATAAGGTAAGCACAATTAAGAAAATAGGCCATCCGACTAGGGTTACTTATGAGAAATTTCCAAAAAATACCTGATAAAACCCCGATTTTGTGTAAATCTATATTACTATATTTCAGTCACAGAATAATCATACGACCGGAAGACGAATTCATAAAATAAATATTGATTTGACATAATGTCTTATGTATGTGCAGGTATTTTTCATTATTCAAATACTAAACCAAAGAGAGGTGGACAAATATAAAACAACATACGAGAGTGATCACCATTTATACATACTCTATGTATAAATGGTTAGAATTGTTAAAACCTCTTTATAGAGAAGATTCATATTATTTTTATTATAGAAAGATGTCGATTCTGGCAGGGTTCTCTAACACGACTAGAAGAAAAAGTAAGACTGTCACATTTATAGTATACTTTCATCAACACTTCTCTAGGAAGATACATTTTTTTTATATAATCAAGTTATTCCGATGCCGTTCTCTGTCTCTTTCTAGAGCCTTTTCAATTTCATGAGGTTGTCCCTAGTTCCGTTCTTTATAGACATGGGCCTGATGTAGACCATTCATTTTGTTTTCGTTTTTACAGTGAACGTTTTGGTCTTTACGAGGTGGCATTTGATACAGAAGAAAAGAAGAGGACAGCACGAATGTCCGCGCTAGTTTACAAACGTATCATAGAAACTAGAATCATAGAAGAGAACTGGACACCGGACAGTATGAACATACAAATATCGAACAGAAGAACCAATAAAAATAAAGTCGAATTGTAGATTAAACAGCTTTTTATCAAATACCGTAACGCACCCAGATAAATCCTGGGTGTTATTTACCACAGACCTAGAGACGAGATATACGAAATAGTTATAAAATTTAGTATCATGAAAACATTCAAGGATACAGTGTGACCAAGATCTTTGGCCCGTAGCCGAAATCGGAACTAATTTTAAGAAGATATAAAAAAGCCTTTTATTTATAAAGGCAGGTGGTAGTAAGCCTTTTATATTTCCTGTTACTCTACGAGTTATTTTATATTGTAACTTTCTCTTTAGTGAGGTGATTTTAGGTGCTTAGTAATCCTCATTTCACTACTTATTCACCAGATGCCCTCCTGTCAATGTCATCTAAGTGTCACAAGAGCTTGGTCGCACTGTAGCGTATATTATACTACATATGTATATTTTTTAACTAGAATAGCTAGCATTCGATGACTATTTCGAACATGAAACATTCTGAAATAGATACATTTGAACTAGGTAGGTACTTTTCGTTATGTAAATAAACCTCTTATTAGTCTTTAGCACTAGTGACCTGTTAATATATCCTATTGATATCACAAAGGGATAACCAAATGTTTTTTTATTTGTATTAAAAATTGATTGGCATCTCTGAAAGAGGCCGCTTAAGTTTATATTATAATGTTATTTAAACTTGTTGAGCATAGCAAAAATAATATTTTCGATACAATAATTGCACAGTGTAGGAAGTAACAGACTGTTCTTAGAAAACATAACTATTTGATTAGTATATTTTTTGACGTGATTCATTTCAACATTGTTTCTAAATAAAATGCGCAGGCAGTGCTACGACGTAAATAAGAGACTTTTTATTGATACTTCAAATTATTTATTTTAGTGATACTTAAAGGATACGGTTCAAAATAGGGTATTTGATAGTATTAAAAATAAAGTGCCAATTGTTAGCATCTGTGTTTAGAATGAATATTAGTGTCGCCGCACACGTGCCACACGCCACAGCCACAAACGCTGCTACGAGAAGCTAGAAGCGGCTACTAAAGTGGCTGAAGCGCGCGACAGCGGCCGACTAAGGTAAGGGAGAGAGGGGTGGGTAATCGCGCGAGTGACGTGTGGCGGCGTTTTGTAGCGGCGCATTAAGTGGCCGGCGCGGGCCACAAGAAGCGAGCAACGACGACTTGTAGCGTGTGGCAGCCACCGGCGTATCGTGTGTGGCGAGTCCATATAAAATGTATGAAAACTACAAGAAATATGCCGGTGGCGGCGTTTTGTGGTTGTGGTCGGTGGCTCGTGTGCGGCGACACTTAGCAGGCGATTTTACTATTTTTTAAAAAAAAACATAATTTTACTAAAAACCCACGAAAAAGATAATAGTTTTCTTATCTATTGTCACGTGACCCAAAGCGATTGGTATTGGCGGAGCCTAAAATGACGTCACAAGCAAGTAAACTTCAGGTTAAAGTGACATTACTTTGTACCGTTTGACGTCTTAATAACAGTCGTATGACGTCACACACTAGTAAGACGCCATATTGTCCAGAGAAACGTTTTCGCGGCAACTGGAAAATGGAGTTTTTGATTTGGTTATTTTTACTGAAATACACAACAGAATGATGAATATCCACTTTTTACGGACTCCATAAATATTAGTCAATAACGTGAGATTGTTTTCTAAAACTTGTCAAATACTCTATTGTATGGAGGGTGGCAGACTCCACATTTTTATGACATGTAGTGTACTTAATAGGGAAGATGCAATATTTTTATTTTTGTTTTCATTTTAAAGAATTCCATGTAGAATAAACCACAGATATATAAAAAATTAAAACATTGTGATTTATCGGAAAAAGGCGGTTTTAAATTGACAATTTAAATTTTCGCGCGAAAACGAACCTATGGTTGCGATGACGTTACTCCTGTCTGTCACTGGTCGTAATTGTTCGTTGCTGGCTTTAAATTTTCATACTTTTCATAATTTGCATATTTTTTCGACTTTCGAAATATTTTTTTGAAAAATTTAAAATGGACTATCCATCAACATCATGTGTTCATAACAATACCACTAATATTCCGAAAAAAAGCCGTGTTGACTATGTTTTGTGCCAATCTACTTCAACAAAGTTCCCAAATAAATTGTTTTCTACTGGAACTTCTGACCCAAAACTGAAAAAAAGTGGTTTCAAGCTGCGAAGAGAAATGACAATTATTCTCCAAAGATCGATGCTATCCTTATTCGATGCTGAGAAGATCACTTTGACGTAAGTCGGCGAATATACTTGTTATATGCTTAATTAATCTGGTTGTACGTAAAAACGCATTAGTAACCTACCTAATACTTACAAAACCTGTCTATAACATATTTTTAATTTTACAGTTGGAGAATGACGTCGAAAATTAGATAAAGTTTAAAATGTGTGGCACAATCTTCACATTGGCAGGACTGAACCAAGCTTTGCGTTTCATTTAAAATAACTGTATCACGATAACCTTCTTTACGTACTTTATACTCCGGAGAACTCGACCTTTTACTGTACATAATTTTCCATCTCTTTTAATTTGGACATAGCCGATTGCGTTTACGCCGTAAGATTCTCTTGTTGAGCTGACATAACTGCTATGTGTAGAAGTCGCTGAATAAAATACAAAGTTTAACAACTATGATTTATACCTACCGTAGTAATTTAGTCCCTTTCATTTCTACACTTGAAAACTGCACATTGGACAAAAAATGTTACAACCATGTCAACACTAACTCTTGGTAATTTCCTGGAGTCTGCTTTGATAAACCCAACTTCGATTTTTATTAAAAAAACGCAATTAATATTCCCATAAAATAATATTCACTTTTATAACCATAATCTCAAATAAGTTGTCATAACAGGAGTGACGTCACTAAACGCTGATTGGTGTTTTAAAATACGTTTTTTTCAAGTCATTTTTAATTCGTAATTATTGTTAAAAAACCACATTATGTAAAATAAAAACGTTACAGTGGCATTTCTTTTTTATTTTTTTTGAACATTATAATCATAAAATTTTCATAAATATTATACCTATATGCATCTTCCCTATTGTAAATCGTTTGACAAAAAACTAGAATTATTTTATCTCCGTTTTTTATTAAAACAATTATTATTATCCCAAAAGACATCGTTATTGATTGGCAATTAGCAAGTTTATTTGATGCAAAAGCATCAAATATATTCTTTTCAATAGGTGACTCAAGCAGTGATAATAATTCCGTTCATATCTCATTATGTTATTAGGTATTTTGTGGGTATTGAATTTCAAGAAAAATCAATAAAAATTGGTATGATAATACAATTTTGCTACGATTTCACGAATATCGGGCATGACTGCAGTGTGACCAACCTTAAATTATAGATCCTGCCCCGCTTAGGCAAAAATACTGAAAATCCTGCCAAACTTTTATGCACAAAATGCCGAAATAATGCCAATACAATTATAAAATTTAAAATAAATAGTCACATGTTTTTTTTATATTTTGATTTTAAATAGCTATACATTCGTATTAGCCTCGTATTCTTCTTGATCAATTTCTTAATATTTTTAATCATAGCTTTTGTTGGCTGGAATGAAACGCAGTCACCATATTCTCTAATGCCTTGTTTTACATGCAAAATAGAGGCGACATGTTTATTGATAAATCTGTTCCAGGTTTTTGTTTTTATAAGGTTGATTTGCGAGAATATTCTTTCACAAGCAGCATTCGACATTGGCAAACATAACAAACATTTTACAAAATTGGAAATATTTACGTATTTTAAGTTACCATTTGAATTTCATATTTACGTTTCATGGTAATATGGTAACCATTCACACACACCACACGAAATCAGAAACAAAACAAATCTGTCTCCGACAGTTTTTCTAGTTCGACTAATTACATAAACAACTGACAAATAAAGATATAGGTAATATAAACATTATGCTCCGCGCTTTAAAGTTCACAATGGAATGAACTACAAATTCAACTAGAGATGTTATGGGAAATCCCCGAAACAAAGGTATCGTTGCCAATGTTGCCATTGGCATTTTAAAATTCCTACCTACTGTTTATTCGTTTGTCGATGCCAAATCTATAAAAAAGCTTATATTGCTATAACACCTTGAACGCCGTCAGGCAATCTAAAGATTATCCTGCAGGACGATAATTTCTATAAAAAAAAATATAAAGTGATCGGCATGGCGTCCAAGGTGATAAACTGCCAAATACTGCCAGATTTCTAAAACGTCAAACAAATATGCCAGAGAGGAAAATAAAGGGCTAAACCTGCCGAAAAGGCAGGATCCTGCCACATATGGTCACACTGCATGACTGTACTGATTGACATTACAATGGTGTCGATTCCGGCATGATTCTGTAAACCTAAACTTTAATTTGACAACAGTGTATCCTTGTCATTCTCTACACAGAGTGAAAAGGAGAGACTGATGTTAAATTTAGTTTAAAGTTTAGAGAATGATGCCAGAATTGACACCAGTGATTGAGTTGACGTTACTAAACTGCTACAGACTAAGGGTGTATTCCGAAATATACATCAGTATACTGGCCAGCGGTAATGACGTCCCGATTCCGACGCCATTTTGTACTGGTATGCTACCTTAATTTTACCGGGAAAACGAATATGACGTATGACCGAGCGTGAATTGAAAGCGTACCTATTTAAAGAACAATAATGGCATTCGAACGAAAAAAATTCCTTATATTTGATGAGGTGAATAAAATATCTTCTTTATACGCACTGTTTTTAATATTTCGTCGATTCATGACGTCATTAGCACTGGCCAGTATACGGAATTTTCCCTAAAAATATGACGTTACGCCAGCAGCTTTACAAAATAGATCAATTTTGAAACAACATTTAAAATAAAAAGTAAATAAAGACCTATTCATGTTATTACATAAAACAAGCTTTGAAATTATATATGTTTTATCGCTGCCGGAAACAGACTACCACTTTTGAAGCATGTCCTTTATTTTTATAAAGATTGTGGATTTCTTACCAGTTTGTTTATAAATTAAAAAACCTTATTTATTAACGTTTTTTTTTATTTCTGCGCCCTCTCACGGTGGCTCCTATAAATAAATAATGCTTCATAACATACGTGCGCTACAATAAGCATGCTTTGAGGGAGGAATTAAAAATTATAGTCGCTTACAGATGGCGCTGTTTGATATGTGGTTCAATCAATAGATGTCGTTACAGATATTTTTTTGGGGTTCTGTGCCCAAACGGCAAAAACCGAACCCTTTTGCTGTCTCTCTGTCATCTGTCTTTCCATGATGCGAAGATGGTTATTAACGATTTTAACCACGCTGTTAATTTTTTTGGTGAACGGTTATTTAACCTCATTTTATGCTTCTTACTGTTAACCAGCACCGCTAGATGGCTCTAAAGGATTGAAATGCGCAGTGCGAGTTTAAGGGTGGAAGCACTATTAGCATGAATTTTAGTTTAAATAGTTTAGCTTTTAGAGGATAGGGGATAGGGGGAGGTGGTGTAGAGGATGAAAAACAATTCATCCCCACATTATATGAAGGGGACCCATACCTTAAAAAAATATTTTTAAATTTTTTATTCTACCCTTTGTCGGCGTGATTGATATATTATACATATAGATATGTTAATAATATCAATCAAAATATAATATCAATCACGACGTAGAATAAAAAATTTAAAAATATTTTTAAAGGTATAGATAGGTCCCCTTCATATAATACTTATAAAATTGGTCTTGTGTTGGTTAAGGTATCTTAAATATTAATAATACATACTTTTACTTAAAACAATAAACTTGATTGATACT